GAGGCTATAATCTAAACAATATCAGACCAATTGCACTTCTCAAAATATTCAGGAAATGCATAACAAAGATCTATACAATATAACTGGCAAAAATTCTTCAAGAAAAGGAAATCCCCAAAGGGAACAACTTCACAGGCCTTTTAGGAAATTCTACAAAAACACCAATACATATACTTAATACAATTGTAGAAGAAGCTGCAGAAAAGAAAAAAGAGCTATAGATCCTATTTTAGGACATGAAAAAAGTATTCGACTCAGTTTCATTAGAAGCAATTAAAAAAGCACTCTTAAGACTTAAAGTACTGAAACAAGCAGTTGATTTCATCCTGGATCTCTTCACAAAAAGGCAGATTTATATTATTACAGCATTTGTACTAACAGAAAAGTTTCAAGCAAATAGCAGAATAGAACAAGGAGAAGTTATCTCTCTATTAATATAGCGAATCTTCTATGACCCACTATTGTATATAGTTAAAAAAAATCAAGACCTTGGCTACAAATTTAGCTTATATATTAATTCTAAAGTTGCAAGCAACACTACCTTGAGGTGCGCAGCACTTGTATATGCTGATGACACTATATAGATTGCCAATAGCAAGCAACAGATGGAAAAAATACTGCAAATAGCAAAGCAGTTCTACAAAATTAATGATATCCAAATTAATCCCAAAAAGTTTAAGCTTCTCGTACTTAACACAAAAGAAGAAAAAGAAATACTTTTAGCAAAAAATAAAATAGTAGCTGAGAGGAAAAAATCTGCAGTGCGATTTTTAGGAGTCTGGATGAACTCGAGTATGAAGGAAACCATCATTAAAGCCAAAGCAATGGAAATAGTCAGACAACTCTGCTTGATACTATATCACAAGCACTTAATACTTAGTCAACTTGCTTATATAAACAATATGTATATCATATCTAAAATAAGCTATATACTGCAGACAGCAAAGTTATTATCTAAAACAGTAAAAAAAATTCATCAGCCATTCTTAAGACTTGTTAAGAATAAAATAGAATTAGCTCGTACTGCTAATAATCATCTAAATCTTCACAAAGACTTGGGTGGTTGCAACAGCCTACAAAATGAACTCTTCATAAAGCAAATTTGTAGCTTGCAAAACAGACTCTCAGATACAAATACTAACTCAGAATATACAAAAAAATGATTTAAACAATGTTGGCTTCATGCAGGTATCACAAAAAGTTTGAGTAATCTAGAAATATCAAGTATATTAAGCAAAATTTGGAAATATAATCTTATATGTATTACACTTCTGAAAGCAAAAGAACTAGGTATAGACATTAGAATAAGTGAAGAAACCACTTCCTCAGCAAAATCAGGACAGGCACTTAACAAAACTCTCTTGCCAAAAACTTTTCTCCAAGCATGTAATAGTCTTAACAACTTAGAGCTAGTTTTTATAGATTAACTCATTAGCTCTGAAGACAAGTATATGATTACCTGGCAACAACTTAAGGCAATTAAAAATCTACCAAAACAGGGAAAAAAGCAAAATAGTTCTCAGAATTAGAAGAAAAAATTATAAGAGACCAATCAACACAAGAAATTAAAAGAGAGCTTAATATTAGAAACCCAAACTATCTTGCCTTTATCTTCAAGAAAAAAAAGAAAATCAATACTAATTAAAGAATAAAAGACTAGATTATTGCTAGAAACGAGACAAAGCAGCTTCTTTATGAAAAAGTTGTTAAAAAAAGGAAAACACAAGCTTTAATAGAGCACTAGCAAGAAAGTACACATAATAATAACACAAATATTTACTTAAATGTATGCCAGATTGTCAATTAAATACTATAGACTATCTGGTCTCTTGTCATTTTTGGCTTCAAAACAAAAATATAGAAAAAGTGCTTCTCAAGCCAAAAAACTTCAAAAAAAAAAAGCTCTTGCCAGTAAGCAAAGATATGATTACAATATTAAGAAAAGAAAATTAATCTGAAGATGTCTATATAGAACAGCAATTCTTAGAACTAAAACCAATAGAAAAAATAGAAATAGAATTGATTTTAAAAGAAAAATTAGATAGAGAAATAGAGGTTTTTTTAGTATCAATACTTAGTAAAAATATAAATGAGAATAGATTAGATTTAGTTTTTTACATGGATAGTTTAGTAAAAGAAGAAACTAGTAGTATATCTAGTTTACTAAAATGTGCTCTGGGTCTTGGTTGGGTTCAAACAGATACAAAGGAAGAACAAATCATCTTCAAACTTGCACTTAAAACAATATCATGGCCTTCATCAACCAAGGCAGAACTTATGAGAATCTGGAGTATTCTATTAACAGTTCCATGCAAGTCAAGAGTTGTAATCAATACTGATAGCACCGCAGCTATAGCTGGAGTAGAAAGTATTAAAGAGTTAATATCAGGCAAAAAATAGTTAAAGTAAAAGAACTATTATATCTTGGAAAAGATTTCTAATCTACTCCAAATCAAAGATGTTATGCTAACCCTTAAGAAAGTCAAAGCACATAGTAATTACAAATAGAATGACTTAGCAGACAATCTAGTAAAAGAAAGAACTACAGCAAATGATACTATTACTTTGAAAATAACAAAAAACTCAAGATTTCAGTGTGTAGCATATTGGAAAACCAAATTAGTCAAAATATTTTTAAGAGCTTTTGTCAAAATGTTTACCAATATGAAACTTGGAGCAGAGTGAAAACTCTTAAAAACAACTACAAAAATTCTGCACCCAAGTGTTCTTAATAAAAAGTTCAGATCTTTTGTCTAGAGCAGACTTAAAAAACCTTAAAAATATATAGTAACTTCTTGAAAAAAAGCAAGAAGACAAGTTTTATTATCAAATGCCTTGCAGAAAAGCTTCTGCTCATGGAAAAACTATATAGAAGAAAACTGGAGTTATACAAATCTCCAGATTTTATATTATATAATAAAGGCTATACTTGTTATATCATTTGCCTTTTCCCACATATTAACTATCTGGCACCTGTCTTTCTATATAATTTTGAAAAAACCATTCCAGACCATAGTAATTATATAATCAATACAGTTTATAGCTTCTCTTCTTGGCACTAGTATATTTTCTACTTTTTCTAGAACCTGAATCTGGATAGTACCTTTCATTAGACACTTCCTTATTTCAAGTATTTCTGCATGATGATTACCAAAGATTGTACTCCTGAGATTTTTTTTATATTACATAATTTTTGTTTTGGAGTAGATTAGAAATTTTTCTAAAATATAATAGTTCTTTCGCTTTAACCATTTTTTGCCTGATGTTAACTCTTTAATACTTTCTATTCCAGGTATAGCTGCAGTGCTATCAGTATTAATTATGATCCTTAAATTGTATAGAACTGTTAATAAAACACTTCAGATTGCTATAAGTTCTGCCTTGGTTGATGAAAGCCATGATATTGTTTTAAGTACAAGTTTGGCAATGATTTGTTCTTCCTTTGTGTCAGTTTAAACCAAACCAAGACTCAGAGCACATTGTGATGTACTAGATATACTACTAGTTTTTTCCTTTACCAAACTATTTATGTAAAAAACTAAATTTAATCTATTCTTGTTTATATTTTTACTAAGTATTGATACTAAAAGAAACTCTAATTCTCTATCTAATTTTTCTTTTAAAATCAATTCTATTTCTATTTTTTCTATTAATTTTATTTATAAGAATTGCTATTCTATATAGATATCTTTAGATTAATTTTTTTTTTCTTAATATTGTAATCATATCTTTGCTTACTGGCAAGAGCTTTCCTTTTTCAAAGTTTTTTGGCTTGAAAAGCACCTCTATTATATTTTTGTTTTGAAGCCAAAAGTGAGAAGCTGGATAGTCTATAGTATTTAATTGACAACCTGGGCATATATTTAAGTGAATATATGTATTATTATTATATATGCTTTCTTGCCAGATTTTATTTACAGTATATATTATTATTATATTATATTATATTATTATATATTATTAGTATATTATTATATTATTTTATATTATATTTTTATATTTTTATATTATTATATATATTAATTATTTATTTATAAAATAAAATTATATTTTTAAACTAACTATTATATACATATTAATATAAAATTTTATATGTTTACTTTAAATTATATCACTAACAATTATATGTATTTAATAATATTTTTTTTAAATACAAAAGCTACTCTAAACATAATAAAAATAGTTGTACTATTGTTTGAAAATATTTTTATTAGTTTATTAACATAATTCTAAACTTATAATTACTATCACATGGATATAAAGACATGCTTTGATGCTAGTATATTTATTATAAAATCAAATTTATTAATATTATAATAAAATTTAAAATTTTAGTATATTGGCCTTAAAAATTCGGGTCTGGTTCGGGTCGGGTCGGGTTGAAGCTCTAACCCGAAAGTTTTCAACCCGACTCGTCCCGACCCGTTCGGAGCACTAAGTGCAATACAATAATATACAGGTGCAATTTATTATCACTGTTTTCGAATTAATCCGATAGATGAATTTCGCGAATTCTATGAATCCTGCATATTACCATTGTGACAACAATGGTAATATGCAGAATTCATAGAATTCGCGAAATTCATCTATCGGATTAATTCGAAAACAGTGATAATAAATATGACACGTTAGTGTAAAAATATCATTAGAATATCCGGGGGCTGAATTACTGTATATTATTATCTGATATTTCTATTAGAGAAATAGTATGAAATTACGGTGAAAATTTATGCAATAAAAAAATAGAAAACATTAAAGGCGTTAAACAATTGTAATTATTTTTTGTATCAAAGTATTTTTTTGCCTCAATCACAAATTGTCATTATCATCGTTTTTTAATGCAATATGTATGACAATTACGTATCTAACTTTAAATGGTTTAATCGATACACGTGTAAACTTTATTGTTTCACAACGGAAAATATAAAATCACATGGTAATCTGTTTATTCTCACACAGTTGTCCGACCCATTTTTGATTCATTGTTATTACCTTCAAATATGTCAGCACTAGATAGACTACAAAAATGTTTACAAGAACTTACGAATTGTCGTCAGAGGATAATACAGAATGTGAAAAGTAATCTTTTTTTTGACAGTGCTAGTGAGGCTATTAGATATTGCGAAGATATCGAACAAATAACTTTAAATGATATTGACGTTCAAGAACTAGGTATTTCAACATTATTCAAAATGTCTTAAAAAAAGAAGTTATTTTAACAAAAAAATAATAATACTTATTTTTTAACTAATTTTTTATTAGGTCTCGCGTCAAAATTTCTATTTGATCCGAAAACAGGAATAATTAAATTTTTAGTAGACACTGCCCAAATAATTGATTCAACACTTTCTAAAGCAAAGATAGCTCTTTTAGAATTTCTATTTCTTTATATACAAAAAGTAAGATCCGATATTGAACCATATTCAATCAAGATTAGGGTACGTGAGAATTATTATTTTTTCGTCATTTATGATACAATTCATTTATTCTTATAATATATAATTGTTTAATAGGACGCGTGTTTCACACTTCAACATAATGATGAAGCTGTTGTACGTGCTGCTTCTTTTAAACCAATGGTTGCAATGTTGGATTCAAGTGTACGAATAATTGATCCTAATAAAATGCACATGGAAGATATACTTCAACGGTAGCTATTTCCCTAAAAGCCTTATCGTCATAATAGAAATTTAACAATATTATATAATAAAACTTTTTTATTTTATTTTATTAGATATCTAGATTATATTTTTGTTCAGAGTAAAATGCATCAAAGTGTTAAAGGTTTATATTTGTATATTATAATTTTTTTACATACATACATATTTCTCAATGTAATTGATTGTATGTCTTGTTAATGATATAGTTATGGCAGGAATTCTTACCACGTTGGGTATAATCGCATATAGATTTCCCGAACATTCTAAAAAAGATTGCGACAAACTTTTACGTGTTTTCATAAACAAGTTAAAAGATCCAGATCATTCAAATGCTGCTTTTAAAGGATTACATTCTTTCTTATTTAGTTTTCCTGATTTATTGAAGAAAGGTTTGCTCGAATTTATGTTGATGATAATATTGTTATTTTATTACTTACCTATTTTTATTAAAAAGTTATTTATCATGTGGTTGAATTGACTTTTAGCTAATCAAGAGGAATATGTATTTCAATGCATTTTAAGAAGTATTACCATGGTCGAGAACGAAAGTCATTATGATATTGCGAAAAGTAATTTATTATCCATTTCTATAAATATATCTTTATACAATATATTCTAATTTAATAATTTTTATTTTTTGCTTATTTCTTAATACTTCCTGAATTTTTTCCCGAATTAAAGCTGGTTTCGATTATATATCTGATCATTCAAGCATATTTGGTCATTATTACTTGCAACATTATCGTGAAGTGTGGGCTTGTCTTTGGAAATGTCGTGATCATAAAAATAATGACGTTAGACGTGCGGCGTTTAAATCTATTGGAGAATTTTTAAAAAAGGCATAAAGTTTTTCTGTTTAATTTATAAAAATAATATGATTTAGTCATTTTTTTAATGTTAATGTCATCATTTTAAAGGTTGCCGCTTTGTTGAATTCAAATTTTATTGGGTCTCATGAAAAAGAATGTGTGGAGGTATAATGATTTACATATAATGTTTATATATCATGTTTGACAATTATATGATTATTTATATTTATAGTTTCGATACTTTTTTTTTCTCGCAGTTCTTTTTATCAATATTTGTAAATATATGGAAGGCTAATAGCAGTGATCAAAAACAGGAAGTAGAATCAAAGAATCAACAAACAAAAGATCTTTCCATTGCTGTTCGAGGTGTAGGGTATTTTGCCGCACCAGCAAAAAAGTTTATGGAGGAAAATAGGTTACAACAACTATTTCAGGATTTGCTTAAGCCAAGTGCTTGGGTAGTTTCAAGGTATTGTCTTCATCATTAATTATTATTAAATTATTAAATTATTAAATTATTAATTATTAATTAATTTTTTAATTACTGGAGTTTCCTATTTCTAATACTTATTGTTAAATTTTGTAGTATGGATTATAAAGAGACCTCACTGAATGTTCAACAAATACCGTTGTTCATTGAAGCCTATTGTTATATTGGACATGAATTTGATGTTATTTTTGATGAATTAATGGAGGTTATTGAACGTGAAGTGGGTTTAATGCTTATGTATTACCCACGTTTAATATCAGAATTACGTCTTAGAAGTGCAAATGCTTATGTACAATTATTATGGATGTTATACATGAAAGGACGAGGTGTTTTGCAAAAATTTGTTGCTAAAACATGTGCGTTATCAATTTTATTATATAATAAAAAAAGTTATTATTTTAATCAGCAAATATTAATCAACAAATATTAAACCAAATATTAAATGCTATTTTTTTTTGTAGTTTATCATGCAATGATTTTGACGTGTACAGATGGAATTCAATATAAAAATCAGGCTGATATTCAAGAAAATGTTCCTGGAATTATTAATCCTGTAGCTGAACATACGTATCAAGAAATGTTCAATTTTTGGGAACATATTTTTAAAGATTCAACCTTAACTTGGGTTATTCGTCAAAGTGGTCTTTCATCTGAAGAACCTCAAAATAATGATACTATCAAAGAATTTTTTTCTATACTATATGATGAATTTTTATCTGCTGTATTTCGTATGATTAGATCTTTAAATTTTGATGTTATAGATGTAGCATCTGATGATACAACTAATATTACTGAATCTGGATCTGACCAAATTGAAAAAAATACGGACTCTAATTTAATAGCAATTGCTGGATCTGGTGATTTAGATAATTTAAAACCTGTTGTTTCTAAAGATTTTGTACTTTTTCAAAATCTTGTAGATTTCTGGAAATTATTTTTATCAAGGATCAGACGTGAATTATTTTCAAGATGGGTTTATCTTTCAGGTGATACTTTAATAACATTTTCTACGCAATATCCCTATGTTAGTGGTTTCTACAAGATGCTGGGGTCATGTATGAAAGTATGCGAAATTATAAAGTTTTTTGATGGTATTAAAAAAATAAATGATGAGGTATATTTATTATTTTTTATTTCGCATTTTTTTAATGTTTACAAAATAATTTTTTGATAATAATTGATAATAATTTATTATATAATTTATTATATTGGATAATTGTTGTCTTTATTTGATTCGCGTAGAATACTACGATTCACGGCGCGCATGATCAATTATTACCTTCTGCTACATCATTGCAACGCGCGAGTTACTTTCTTTTTACAAAATTTCTCAAAGAAGTTTGTGTTCGACTTGATCAATACAAAGATGATTTACTTGCTTCATGCCTTGATCTTGTTCTTTCGGCTCCTAAAGAGCTTCTTCATATGGATAATCTTATATCACCAATACGTATTTCATTAAAATTGGGACAAAGTTATCAACCACTTGCAAATATTGGTTTAAATGCAATTGAAAAATTACTAGATATGAAAGAATCTCAAAATATTAATAAATTACTTGGACAATTATTACCACTTTTAAATGATTATTTATTGGTTACTGCTGATTCAATGGATAATTCTCTTAAAGAAATTGCTCAAGTTCGTGCTGATGCTCAATCGTTGAAACGTGGAATTAAAACAGTAGAACAAGCTAGAAAGCAGAAAATAAGAGATATGGATAGGCATAAAAGTTCTACAATTGTTGGGGTATTTATACATAATTTACATAATTAATTATATAGTGTATATATATTATATTCATAATAATTTCATTATAAATTATACTAGATGGGTCAGCTAAAGAAAAATGCTGGATTACATAATTTACAAGTACGCGTTCTTCGAATACTTGGAAGACTTGGTGGAACTAGCAAATTAATATTTGAACGAATTATTGATAATGAAACTACAAATAAACAACAAAATATTCATGGATTTAAAGATAAAACTTCAAATAATCTTTTGGCTTGGGATCCTGAAAAACGATTAATTTTTAATATTCCATATCCGGATACCAATGTGGAAATTTCAATTGGTAATTTTAAATTTGGAACTTTTTTTAAAATTAGGTATCAAATATATGTATATATGTAAGAATTTTGCCAAAAATATTATTATCGTAGATGAATTCTTCCCACGTATTGTTGAACTAGCCGAGTCTGCTCCTGATCGAAAAACAAAGGTTTTTGCTTGCGAACTTTTACATTCTATTATGTTGCTTATGATTGGCAGGAGCGCGTTTCAAGCTCGTAGTACGGCAGGACCACAAAAGGTTTATATAAAATACTGTTCTTTAATTTGATTTTTATGATTTTCCTATGATTTAAGATTTAAAAATTTACGCGATGATGATTATTATTAGAGTCCATTTTATCGTATATATCGCCGAATATTTCCCGCACTTTTACGTTTGGCCATTGATACAGATCAAGTACCAAGAAAACTGTTTCGCCGTCTTGTAGCTCAAATGATACATTGGTTTACAAATAATGCACAATATGAGAATCCAGAGACTATTGCGTTATTACAATGTTGTCTCGATGCTATATGTGATACTTGGGGTTCATTGAGAGATTATGGTGCGGAATGTCTTAATGAATTCTTATTATGGTCAATTAAACAGTCATCAGCTCAGGTATTTACCCATTTTACGTGATTTTGTTTTTTGTTAAGAAAACATTTTACGTATAACATTTTTATCACAACTATTTATTATTATTTATTGATATAGCAAATGGATGAGAATCCGATGAACATTAAATCATTATTAAAGCGTTTATATAATCTTTCTGCACATCCTGATTATACCAAACGTCTTGGAGCTTCACTTGCTGTTAATCATATATATCGTGTATATCGTGAGGAAGAATCTTTAATCGATCAATTTACATTTGAACTCTTATATTGGATTTTATTCAATTTGAGACTTTCTGATCAAGATCAAGATGCTATTGGTATATATATATTTAATAATAATTTTTACCTTAATCGCTTGGAATATTTTTCATGACGTTTAATCAAAAATTTTTTTTAGGTACACGACAACAAGCTATCGCAGCGATTAGGCATTTGAAAAAAATAATTACTGTTAAATCAGATCTGTTTATAAATGAAACAGATGCGAGACGCAAGTTTTCTAATCTTGATAAAGCTGATTTATCATCCTTAGTTAAATGGTTATTTAATGAGACCCGTAAACTTGAACGAGATTATGCAAACATGTGTAGAGAATTATTTTCCGAATTTGTGGCATTACTACCAGGTGAATAATATTTATAATTTTTAAGTTTTAAAGTTAATTTATAACCTTTTTTTTTCTCATTTTATTTTAGAACATAAAAGTGGTTCTCGATGGGTTTCATATGAACTCACAAAAGATCCATCTTTTCTAAAAAATCTCTATAAAATTTCGATACTATCTCAATTACCTTCTCAGCATCATAATGTGATTTCATCAAAAACCAAAGGATGGTGTTTACGCTTCTTATGCATTTTAGAAAATTATACTTGGCTAATCAAAGAGAAATTTGTGGCACCACTGGCACTAATTAAAAATGAAAGCACAATTTTTCGAAAAGCCATTGATTATTTTTTAGATAGAATGGTATTAAATGTTGATTCAAGTTATTCACATGAAATGATGGATGTTGATGATGAAAGTAGTTTTAGTTCAATTAGTTCAGAAAATATTTTAACCCCTGGTGAAAGATTACAATGGTTGAATCGTGAAGCACAAATGATTGATCGTTTAATAGATTTTGCTATTGTTATACTTGAAAATGCAAATGATAATGATATACAAAGTATATGGAATACAAACATTTTTGGTAATCCATTTTTTAAGACAATAGCAAAATCATTATTTTATTTCGAAAGTTTGGGTTTGGATTTATTATATAGTGGTGGAAATGAACGTGATAAATTTACAAAAAAATTGGAACATTTATTGACTTTGTGGAAAAAACGATCAAAATCTGGAGATTCTCAACGAGATCAAATGGTTAAAGAAATTGCTGATATTGCATTTTCAGATGAAATTGATTTGCTTAGTATCGAAATTGAAAAGTCAGGTAAAGTCTTTTTTTTTTTTGAAAAATTTGTTTATAATTTTATCTAAACATTTATATTTATTATTCGTGAATTAATAGATCCTGCTAGTTACATTCATATTACGGCTGGTTTTAAAATTTTAACATCAACCGAGATCTTTCCAGAACTGTTTTCTCACATACCATCACATGTGATTCGTAATAATACTTTACATGATCTGCATAGTTATACTGTATTGATGTGGGAAAAATTCAAGTCTCTTAGAAACGCAGAGGAACCTGTTTGGGTTGAACTTGCGGGTCATTTACTTACCTTTGTTTTAAGTAATAATCCTGATGCTTTGAACAGATGGCTTCTCAGTGATATATTGGTGCGTATTACATAATCTGTTACTTCATATTTCAGATATTTCAACTGTATTTTACATTTTCGTTTTGTGTAAATTCAGGGCTTTCCAAGTAATAGCTCTCATGTGAGTTATCAAGATGGTAGTCTGTATTATCAGAAATTTTTTTCAAGCGTGAGTGATTATTTTAATTAAAATACGATTAATTGTTAGTACAATATTTTTTATTAATTGTTCATAATTGTTTAAAATAGATCAATGAACATGTATCTCGTAATTTCAAAGGATTTGCATTTATATTTTGTGAGAACATTAATGACGCAATAGTAAAAGATGTTGTTTCGGGAGTAATTGATTATTTATCCTTCAAGAAAAATTCGGAACAGATACTATTGTTTTTGAACGATGTAAGTGAAAAAAGTCGATATGAAATAGTAATTTTAGCATGTTTACGGATTCTTTAATCATTTTTTCAAAAAAAAATTTTTTTTCAAGTTTACTTCGTCGTCATATTTCTTGAATCAGTTGTAAGTATTACTCAGATATTGAAATATAATTTATATTTAACTATCAATTTAATTACATTAATATTCTACCTAACGACTTTTACTAATCCGTCCTTGTAGCGTTAATAGTTCAAAAGACCAACGTTTCTTGTTGAAGATATGGAAGGGACTTATAAAGCTTGATCGCCATCTATTAAAGCGTCCATTTTCAAATAACTTTAAACAATTATTCTTTGATACATACGTATCATTTCTTGGAAAAGAAACAGAGCTTGATTTTAAATGTGAAGCTTTGGAAATTATGCCAATATTTCTTAAATCTGATATGCCTACTGAAAAGGTAACATCTAAAATATTTATTTAATTGTATAAAACTTTGCTAAACATGGTGAATCTCTACCTAGATTGAATCATGTGTTTCGGATATGTTGAATAATCAATTTCCTTTATGGTCATCAGATTACAAATCTGGTGGAACAAGAAAGTATCCTTTTAATTCGAATATTAGTAATGTGATTTACCTATAAATTATAAATTATATCCTTAATTATGTGATAGATTAAATGAATATATTTCAGCACTTGATGGGCTACTTAAAGCGATGGTTCGATCTGATAGCGTTAGCCTTTTTAAAATCTTGCTTCCTATTTTTGTTCGAGAGAATGATCATATTTATAGCGAAGAGTTTTATCGTCAATTGGGAGAATTTGTTTCTAAACTTCCGCGATCTAAATTTGTTGAAACTTTGGAAATTACTTTCGGGTATTTATAAATAGATTAATGTTTATTTAATCTGGCTTAATGAATGATTCTTATTTTTATTATTTGATTATTTTAACTTGGATTAGATATTTCATGGATTCAAAGTTTGCAAATTTTCATCGAAATATAATCCAATCAATCCTAAGTCCCATATTGATGCAAGGAACAAGGATATATGTTGTGGAATTTTACAAAATGCATATTAGAGAGTTAATCAATATTATCGAACAAGATAAATATCCAAGGACTGATTCTGAGTTAGTTTATGAACTTGATGCAAAAGCCGGATCATTTACTTTATTACAAATATCCTTTTTATTAATTTTTATTTTACTATCATTTCATGTTTTATACTAAATATTTAGTCCTTAAGTATTTTTAACATTATGTATCTTCGAGTTTCTAAAGATGACATTTATTCAGAAAAAGGAGAAATTGTTCAAACTTATTTTCAAGGAAGAATATTAAAGGCAAAGGAACTGACTCGTATAATAATGGACTATGCACATAAAACCAAGTCAAAAAGCGATAATGTATGATTTTAAAATTAATTAACACATTGTAAATTCCTAGCTGCTTATTTTAAAAAATATTTAATAATTGTTAGGATGAATATTCAAGTGACTCTGTTATAGAAGCTAAACTACTACTTAGGTGTGCTGCGTATAATGCTCTTGCAGCAGCTATCTTGTGCACACAAGAAAATACTTCCAAAAATACTCCAGTGTTTTATAGGACATTTTTATTTTCTGATAATGTTCTCAAAGGGGAATATGTTTGGGAAAATATTGTTGATTTGAAGGTAATTTAATAGATAAAATTATCAGTATTTAAGTATTAAACAAATTTGTATTGATTATATTCTTTAATTAGATGAAACATCATTTCAATGCAGACTCTGAACAACCATTTTTTAAAACTAAACTTGATGATTTTCGGACGAGAACAGCGGGTTTATCTAAAGAAACGAAAAAGTATACATCAACACACTGTTCATTTTAGGTCATTGGTATATTTATTATATTCAAAGTTTCTAAACTTATTTTTACTAAAAATTTTTAGAACAAGTAGTTTAAAATACCTTGCGTCCCAATATTTGGCAGACTCTAGTGTTTCACAAGTTAGTTATTAAATCTCAGAACAATTCACGAATGTTTATTTTTATATATATATTTATATGTCTGTATATGTTACTTCAAGACCGCCAATCTTGATAGTATGATAGATGAAATTACCCAGGATTTAGGCTCAAGCGTACAAATTGAAGATAATGAACCAACTCCAATGGAAGTAGATGAACCAACAAAGGATTTGTAAATATTTTATTTGCGAGCAACATTATATGACTTGTTAGTTTACTAAATTATTTTATTGCATTCCAATTAATAAAGGCCAGAACCTAGGGAATTGGAAATCGATTCATTTAATCGTAATCCTTGTATGAAAACGATTATCAGAGTAATTGAACGTCTTCACACTGAAATAACATCGCCAAATTCGTCTGAATCAACACCTATATGGATGAATGATTTACATAAAAAGTTCATTAAAAAAGGTGACATAATTATTTTCGTTCTATTTCTTCATCTTATTATTGTTATGTTTTTAATACTTATTTAATTTTTTTTTTTAATTCAGAAACGCATCTCAATATACGTCTATTTATTGCTAAAATTATTATCAATATTCCTGAAGCTTTTGAGAAGTATGCTTCAATTTGGATTCGGCCATTAATGCAATTAATAATTGAAGGAGATGCGTATGGAAAAGGAATAAACTATTTTATTCAGGTAATCGGTACAAATTATGATCATATTTTAAATTGTGTTTAAATTTTAATAGAAATTTAATTTGAATTATTTAATTTAAAATTATAGGACCTTTGCGCTATAATAATTGTTTGGAGTTCTTTCGAAACATTAGGATCTTATGAGGATAAAATATTGATCTATAAATTAATGGTAATTGTTTATATCTGGTACATTTGATTCAGCTCTGAAATATTGGTACTATTATCTCAAATATATAATTTGTAAATAGGATTTTTTGATGAGAAATACTTGCAGTGAAGATCGCACCGTCCTTCGTAATAATCTTCAATCTATTAAGGGAATGTTTGAAGCATGGCACGACATCATTGTTGTACCAACAGTATGATTCAGATTATTTATATTGTATTATTGCAACTTTTTTATTTCATGATCTTACGTGATTTCTTGAAATTAATTTTAGCAAGTTATATATGACTATTTTAGTAGTTCGGACGATAACCAAATTATTGCGGGCTTACAGTTATTTGGTATCGCATTAACACATGACAAGTCACTGTTTAAGCAAGAAGTTGGAATTGATTTTGGCACTTTGACAGAGGAAAAATTTTATTGGGATCTCACCAGAAAATTAGATCATGAAAAAAGCAATATACGTTCTCTTACAGCTGAAGTACGTTTAAATAATTTTAAATAATTGCATTTATCCATTTACTATTATATTTATTTTAAAATCTTATTTTTTTTACTTCAGGTGTGTGGTATGGCATTGAAACATTTACGGAAATATCACTGCTCTGATGACAAGCTTGGCTATTTACTTAATCCTATCATGGATAAGGTAGATTATTTTTAAACTTTAGAGCTACTACTACTCCTACTTAATTAAAATATTATTAAATAATTTTAGGTTACCGCTTTATACAAAAAACTTACAAACAAACCAACAGAACTTAACACATTTCTTACTTGCATACATCATATTTCAATGCATGATCGGCCAGCATCAGAAAAATTTTTAAAATATGCTTTTAATCTCTTACCACGGTTAAATAGTCTTAATGTTAAAAAAATTCTTGCATTAGAAGTTATTTCATATTGCGCTGAAAGCGATCCTGATTTACTTACAAATTTGGGAAAAACTCAGCTTCTTACATTACTTAGACATAAGTTAGTATATTATAATTTTTTTTCACTTTTTTAGTTCTATATTAATCTGTATTTTGTCAAATTGTTATAGGAGCGATAATGAACAATTAGTAGCATTAAGAATTTTGAATGGTGTACTACTTCAGGGGGATGAAACTTTAGTAGATTATTTCTTAGATCCATTACTCGAAAGTTTCAAAGATCATCCTAATATTAATTGTCGAGTATCCTTTTTCTATACAATATATAGTGAATGAATTTGTTCAGGGAATTTGTTTAATCCTTCACAAAAGAATATTCCACAGGAATCATTTTATGCCATTTTAATGCAGTTATATAAGAAAACATCAATAGAAAGTAAAGTCAAACAAAAATTGAAAATCGGTTTGCTAAGAGGGTTAGCGGATTTAGATGAAAACATACAACAAACGTTGACGGAATTTTGGAAGGAACAACAAGAACTTTCTCATGATACGTTTACTTCATTAAAAGAACTTGTTGGGTATGTCGATAAATTCTATTATTTCTACAATTATTAATAGGTTATGTATAGTTCTTATTTTTTTTTTTCATTGCTTAATTTCTATTAATTCTATTAATTTTTAGGAGTTTATATTGCTCCGAAATCGAAACGCTTTTTTTACAATACTCATGCTTTTTACTACTCGAAGGGTCAAAAAAGAGCATAGATTATAAAAAACCCATATTTGATCAGCCTTTACCTCAATCTAAATTTGATGACAATTTTGACAATATAGACACCTCATGGCGAGTGAATAATACTATGACACCTCTTTTCGTTAATACACAAAAAAATAATCAAAAGGTAATTATAAATTGGTGCTGAAGTGTGTAATATTAAAATTTATTTATGCTCAAGCTTGATCAATTTATTATAGGCTTATAAGCGAAACTTTCAAGAGGGATTCGTTCGAGCGACAAATAAAAATAACGCATTCAGTTTGACAATCGATCCAAGTAAAAATTTAATCTTTTTTTTTTTTTAATAATTTTGCAATTGATTTTTATATTATTGGTTATTAATTTTGTTAACAATTCTAGTGAATTATGATATTGGATCTCAATTATCAACTTGGACATTGACACAATCTAATTTATTGTTTGCTCCCGCGAATACTCCTGTATTGGGCAAAAGAAAACAGGCTATTTACGGTGACTCAGACAATGCGTCGAAGTACTTGTTAATTTTTGATTTTTGTAAATTATAACATGTAAATTTGTGTTAGGCTTTATCTTAAATTTTTTTGCATTTCTTTGTAAGGTCAGTGCAAAGTTCTCAACAAATGTATCAAAAACT